CAAAACCCCAAAACCCCAAAACCCCAAAACCCCAAAACCCCAAAACCCCAAAGCCTTCACCGATTATAGTAATCTATAATAAATATATATTTGAAAATGTCTACCTCAGAATCAGTACAACCCCAAGGTATTTCTATTATGCATTTCAAAGCTGATCGCTTCATGTTTTTCATCCCTAGATGATCTATAAAAGGCTATCAGACGGGTCAAGGGGATAAATTATCTTGATTAGTGCTTGCTGCAGTTTGGAAAGCTAGGCCAGCGTGATAAATGAATTAATTTCATCATTTTCACCTAGATAAAATATTACTTAGAAATTGGTAACAGAGCTCAACGATTTTTTAGCCAATTCAATAGGGTTTAGTTGATATTGGGTAGGAAAATCATAGTCAGGACTTGGAACAACCAAGGGAGGTTGTTACTGTAGTGAAGCAATAGGCTTAGCAGTACTAAGTTATTAGAATATTAGAGAGGTTAGAAATCTGAATGGGGTCAATTAGGCATGCTAATATTTTTGAGCTGTTTTCTTTGATGACGTATTCACCCTTAATTTAATATCAGTAACTATTACTATACCTTCTTATGAAATTTCGAATTAGAAAATTTAGAAAAAATAGACACAATAATATTTTGAATAAATCAAAGTTACTATTTATCGATTTCCTTTAATTATTACCCCTTAAATCGCTGTTATAATTATTAAACTCCTCCAACTCCTCAAAAAATTCAAAATTAAAGCCCCCCAATTTCATAATCTCATTCCTTCCTAACCCCTCATCCCTAAAATCCCCCTTTTCTTCCAATTTCCTACCCCATCTTTTCCAGTCACCGTCCCTAATATAATTAGCCATCAAATTCCCAAAATCATTAAAACCCATAAATTCCCCTTCTAATCCCTCTTACAGACCCACTACCAGCCAACCCTCCCTTGCCAGCCCACTCACCGCTCGAAGTGGACGACTACATAAAAGATGTCATAGAGGAAACAGTCCAGAAGACATATAAGAAGTACATCCAGATTACTTGCTGGGCGTTGATAATTATAGTGAGCCTACTTGCCCTAGTCTCTTATTTGAGTAAGCATGGTTCAATATTTTAGATTTAACAGAAAGCAATAGGGAAACTCATATGAAGGCTTGTGTAAATTCGATCATTTTTGTAGTGATGATCTGTGTTGCTCTTATGGTCATGAGATATAAGCCGGTCTGGATACTGTATTTTGTACCGCTAGTGATCGGAGTTTCAACTTATTTAGCAGTTGATCATACTCTTACAAAAGATTTTTATAAACTAAGTGAACATTTATTATCTAACTCATGATTCTGTCATACATTAGTAATTCTTGTCCCAAACAAATGGAAATCAAGCTCACTCGTGTTTTCTTGTTTAATGCTATATCTTGGATATGGAATCTGGAAGAGCTATAATATCTCAAATGCTGATATTATTACAAACGTGCTCTGTTCTTCAATATGGTTTACGCTATCAAATTATTTATTGATGGTTAAAACCAGAGCAATGTATTCTGAGATCTTGAAGAACAAAAAGCTTATCAATGAAATGAAGAAAGTTCTCCAGATCCTTCCTTTTGGTGTGGTCATTTGGCCTTCAGAAAGTGAAGGAAAGTGGTTTACTAACCAAGAATTCACACACAAGTTCACCAAAGTAAGAAAGGATTTGGAAGAACTTAATGATCTCGAAATCTCCTTCCCTTCAAATTCCAATAAAGAGTCAGATATAAGCTGTCTATCTGATTTATTAAAAATGCAGCATAAAGCTCTCGACTCTACTGATTTAATGATAGAGAAAGAAACCAAGATTACTTGAAATCCCCAAAAAGCTGATCTAGCCATTGAAGAAAATGAAGAAACAGACAAGAGAATATGCAATATTAAAACTCTTATGATTGAGTGGGAAGGAGTCAACTCATACATGCATGTGTTCATAGATAACACTGATATCATAAAACTGCAAGAAGTCAAAAGGAGAGTTGAGCTTGAAGAAGCAAATAACAACATCAAGCTCCAGAAGCTGATGTTTGCTAGTGCATCTCATGAGTTCAGGACTCCGCTCAACTCGATCACCAACTCAATAGACATAGTTCTGAATTCCTTTTAATGTAATTCATGATATTGCTGAGCCATACTTCAAGTACTTGGAAGATGACCAGAGAGAAGAAATAGACTCCAACGTTGATATAGTACAAAAGTTTGTAAAAATAGGCAAGAGTTCATCAATGCTACTGCTGACTCTAATCGAAGATGTCCTCAATCTCTCAAAAATGGAAGCAGGTACATTCATGGTCAGCAAAGAGTTGTTCTCCATCAGAGAAGTTTTGGAAGAAGTCTATGATATCTTCTCGATGCAATGCGAGCATAAATAAACTTGGATTCACACTAGATATGTGAAATGAAATTAGAGATGGTCAGATATATGCTGACAAGTCAAGAATAAAGCAAGTCGTGTTGAACTTGATTTCAAACTCATTGAAATTTACATTTGAAGGTTCAATTACAATTGGATGCAAAATTGTGGAACATGGAGACAAGATGTTTGCAGAATTCCAGGTAAGAGACACTGGAATAGGGATCAGTGCTAAAGAACAAGATAAATTGTTCAAGTTATTTGGAATGCTAACTGATACTAAATAAAATCAACCCAAACGGTTCAGGAATAGGTCTTACAGTTAGTAAAAAGTATGTAGAAGCAATGGGTGGTGAAATCCACTTAAAATCAGCCTGCAAAATTGGCACAGATGTAACTTTCTCCATTCCTATCGACGAAAACTCCACTATACTCCCTCTTCTCCTAAACAACCCTTTAATGTAAGCCAACCTCTAACCCTCCTACAGCTACCCTCCCACCTCCCTCGCCCATCGCACCTTATCTTCATCCCCAGGTATAAAACTCTGCTCTAAAGGTAAATTCTTACAAAAATAGCCGCAAAAGTGCCCTCAGGCACTCTAAATTCCCAAATAAAACTAATTATATTCTAAACCACCACCTCGGGGTTTTGGGGTTTTGGGGTTTTGGGG